CACTAGTAACAGTTGAGGGTGCTAAGGAACAATATCTCCATTTAAACATTCGGTACTTAACTCTGATTAATCGCGGATCCGCACTCTATTACTCTAGGATTGTTCGATAGCTATCCAAGCTCTAGAAATTATCATATTTGTTAATATTTATGTATATACCTGTCTCATCCGCCCCCGTCTCCTGACCGACGACGCGGTCCCCCTCTATTGTATTTAATTTTATTTTATATATGGTATTAGTTTTATTTTGATCTACATTAGCTTAATCGTAGTACATGTCATGTACGCAGGCAGTCCCATACCGGGTCACTGTCTGGTATTTGACAATTCACTCCAAAGTTGCAACAGACCTTAGGTTGTGTCACAAGTACCGTTGTGAACACACCTTAGTAGCGCGCGCGCTCACTACCTCTACTTTTTTCTCTTTTTCCTCTAGCTGTTTGTTGCGCGCGCATTCTCTCTCGTTATACTATTCGTTTAGCGCATGCGCGATGCTACTCTTTTATCGCGCGCTTTCTTGTTGCCTCGTATTTTAGCCGGGTGTCATGGCGTCGAGCCCTTTGTTCAACCGTCACTCATGATACCGACTTTCAATTGCGTTTAATTCACGAACAAAGCTATGTCACTCGCGAGAAATCTAATGTTACTGTTACTTTTAACCTTGATCCGATCTATGCCTTTACGCCACTGCATGATAAAAGAAAAAACGCGACAGAACAACCGCACTATTCTGTAATTTTATTCATGTCGTAAATTTACTCTAGAGTTCCAGCCCTCTCTTATTAATTCGCTCTAATATATTATGCCGTTTCTTTTCTAATGACTGCGCGCTCGATATTTTTATTAGTGCACGGCTGACTGAGTGATAAATAAAAAAATATTTGTTCTTCGAATACTTTGCGTACTCGGAATGCGACACTTTCCGTGTGCTTATTAGCTCACTTTGCTTTTTTTTGTTATTTATCGCGAACTCGTGTTGCTCAGGTAGATTCTTTTCAACTCACATTAATAATTTTTAACATACCTCTATAATTTACAATTTTTGCTGCGCAGTGGAAGCGTGGCAGGGCCGATAACCTGTTGGAATATTAGGATAAATCGAAATAACAAACACCTTTTAATTGAATACATATATATAAGTGAAACTGTATAAATGATTTACTCTAAAGATATTATAAACTCTAATCTAATGTTAACTAAGTTACAACTCAAAAATAGCAAAAGAATAAGTAAGTCCAGTTGAAGAGCTCCGCGTTGTAGGAATGGTATAGCTGGAATGGCAGCGCCAGCCAGCAGAGCAGCGCAGCAACGAGAAGGCGCCGCGGTGAGCGCCCGCGCACATGCGCACAGTATTTCAAACAGTATCAAATATTATTTCGTAGAAAATTTTAGCAGCAATAATTTTTTTTCTCGTCGCGAGCGAAGCAAGAATTCAAGATTTCCAATTTTTCCAAATTGTTAAGTAATTCATATTTTGATATGATAAATCTCTTTTATCCATGTCATTGCACTATTAGTCATTGTTATTGATGAAATACCCGAACTTTATAATTACTTGCTCCAACATGACGACATTGTTTAATGCATCATGCGCATTAATACGAGTAGTAGATATATTGTAATTATATATTGCTAATTTATTAGCACCCATTTTAGTATTTCCTGTTGATTTTTTTAAAAGAGACAAGGTGTCCGCAAATTCATATATCACTGAGTAAAAATGATTTGTAAGAAATGTGCGTTAGATTACTCTCAATAAACTTGGTCGATGGAAATTACAATTATGTGCCACTAAAATACATTTCTTATCAAGTCCATTTAACAATTTATAAAACTCTTGCAAAACTACCGACAAATAGAATGTAGCAACGATATTTTTATGTAAATGCAATTTGCCAGATAATATATGTAAATCAATTATTTCGCTTGTCTTTTCATAAATATTTTGCGTTGGAGTTATGTAAACAGAGAAAGTTGTATCTCTGTGTTTTGCAGTGATGTGCAAAATGTTAGCATTTTTTAAGAAACCTCCAGTCTTCAATTCAAAATGAACTATTAGAAGTGCAGAAAAGTTATCGACGATTTATAAAATAGGAAGAGTGGAAATTTAAAAGCCCTATGTCTGATTAATAATTTTCGGAGCCTTCAAAGCATTCTTTCTTGTGGCGCAATTCTTTTTTTATCTTAAGAAATATGCGGTTTATTTTAAAGCCTTTTGTCAATGATTTTTCATATCTTTTTTTTTGCCTGTGAATCAAGTACTTGATAATATTTTATCGTGTGGATCCCAATAGGTACAAATTCTTCTCCTGTATGTTTTTTTTGACTGTAAATTCGAGACAATAATCATATGCTGCTGATCCTCCGTTATAACATGCTTTCGGAGCTTTATTCGCAATAATGATATTCAAACTTTCGTTTGTATAGCTGGATATTCCAGCTGCATTCCTGTCAACTATAGTATGAGGGGGGGGGGTCAATAAGTCTTTACAGGAAGAAGGAAAAAACAGCTTTGCGGATGTAATTTTTTTTTATTTTTCAACATAATCTCCTTGAATGTCGATACATTTTATTAAACGACCTTCCAGTTTTTTTAAGTCATCAGAAAAATATGATTTCTGAAAACCCTCAAAATAGGCATTTGTTTCGGCGATGACTTCTTCATTCGACGTGAATTGTTGTCCGGCAAGCCATTTTTTGAGGTTTGGAAATAAGAAAAAGTCACTGGGAGCCAAATCAGGCGAATATGGTGGATGGTCAATTAATTCGAACTTTAAATCGTTAATTTTTGCCATCGAAACTGTACACGTATGAACTCGAGCATTGTCTTGAAGAAAGAGGCATTTTCTTTTGTTTACGTGAGGACGTTTTTCTCTGATTTTTTCTTTCAGCTAACCTATTAATGACACATAATATTGTCCAGTGATCGTCTGGCTCTTTTCCACGTAGTCGATGTAGATGATTCCGTACGCATCCCAGAAAACCGTGGCCATAATCTTGCCAGCTGACTTTACTGTTTTTCCCTTCTTTGGGGCTGGTTCTCCTGCGGTAATCCATTGTTTGGACTGTTCTTTGGTTTCAGGAGTGTAGTGGTGTACCCATGTTTCGTCTACAGTTACGAGTCGACGCCAAAAGTCTTCCGGATTACGACGTATGCGTGCCAAAAGAGCCTCAGAGGTGACCACGCGGGTTCGTTTGTTTTCAATAGTGAGCAAACGTGGCATCCATCTTGCTGATATTTTTTTCATCCCCAATTTTTCATGCAAAATTGAAATGATTGCACCCTTTGATACCCCTGTGGCCTCAACTAATTCTCGCAATTTTAATCTTCTATCACTCAACAACATATCGTGGATTTTGTTGACCATTTCAGGCGTACTAACTTCTACGGGGCGTCCTGAACGAGGTTCATTTTTGGTTGGCGTTTAAATTCATTTACCCAGTTATAAACAGTCTTAAACACAGGAGCAGACTTGCCATGAACGGCGTTCAACTCAACTGTGATTTCTTTTGGTGTAAGGCCTTTCAAATGAAAATGTTTTATCACCGCTCGAAACTCTGTTTTGTCCAATTTTCAAATAAACCAATAACTTATTGTTCAACCAACGCTCACAAAAAAATGACTTAATGAATCGAGCTGAAACTTTGTATGATATCTAGTTAGTAGTATTGCTTGCCAAAAACATCATAATTTAAGCGTGACGAGCTCCATCTCTTGGATTTTGTAAAGACTTATTGACCCCCCCTCGTAGCTAGTACATCATACAACCAGTATAGTGCATCATGTAATTTTTTACTTCGGAATTCATGACATATTATTGAATGCTTATATGTATCTAGATTTTCTTTGTAGCTACACCAACTGTCGCAATTAAAGTGATTATTGAAAACACGATCCTTATTGCCTATATACCTTATTGTTACAGTCATCAAAATGTGTCACCAGCATTTTGAGATACACAGTAGTGGAAACAACGTGTTAAATATTTTATCGTGTTTGTATTTAGTTCTTTATGCTCTTTTTTGATTTTATGCAACTCATTTGTTACGTTTTTGGATGTGTGGTTTTTGTCGGAGTGCTAGATAATTTCGTGACCACTGCCGCCCGAATAGCCAATATAGATGCACAATCATTATATCCAATCATTACTCTTAATTCAACATGATATATTTAAAAAATTTCATTATCGTTTGCTAATTCAGCTGCAGCTGCAGATTCCATTGCTTTAGCTACACCTGTAAAATTGAGCCTACAGTCATGATCGTTACATTGGCCAATATCATACATGCGAAATTTGCGATTTTTCGACACAAAACCGATAATTTGTTTGAAAAAATATCTAATTAAAACTGCTGCATGGGATAAGCGATCGTATTCACAACCAATTCCTCTCGTTGGTTAGCCGATGTTATATGCCACAGCGATTCTAATGACTATGTCTGGGGAGATTCCATTTATATTCGCGTAATCTACGTGACATAGATTTGGAAGTATAAAATTATTTCTTAACTCACTAGGCCTGTAAGATAAAAATAAAAGAAAAATCACAGATAAAAAGAAAAACATGTAAATTTATGTATTGAGGGAAATAATATAATTTTTTATTGTATTCATTTTATATTTTTGTAATAAAACACAAGTAAATATAAGTTGTTATATCCACATAAATATAAATACTTAATTACTAATGTATAATGTATGTAAATAACATTAAATGCACATACTAATAATTGTAAATATGTATATGAATTACTTGATCGATTTTGTATGTACATAAAAGAAATCGTTTCAGTTAAAAATGATTGTATAGCCATTGTATAAAATCTGTGTAGCTACTTATTTTACAAAAATCGAAAAAAATCATGATTGCTACTTATAATAAATCTAACTTTTACTTTCAATCTCAAAATTGAATAAAAAACTCAATTTAAATAACATATGATTATTAATAGGAATGAGCCATACTCGATACACTCAACGTAATACCTATTCCACTTACAAAAGTTTTTGCATTTCTGAAATATTTTTCACAGTAAGTTCACGTTCCAAAATACATGCTTTCATGCAACTATTTTCAGCCATTTGTCCTACTGCAATACCCACTTCTTTTCGTATACTTTAAATGAATTGTGATGGAGTATTGGCATATCCATTGCAGCAAGAATTTTGTTCAAATGATTGTACCCCATTCCAGCATTGAGAGTTCCTGAAATAAATACGTTATGAATAATTTGTTGCAATTGATTGGCTATACTTCAATTTGTCAAATTACCCATTGCTACCGAGGACTTTCTATCATAGTGTGAAATCTCATTGCCCTATCAACTTTTTGTTACGTCATGTGCCTTGCATCAGTAGAAATTCTTGTAGTGTTTTGACAATTTACACATTTTACAGTAAGAATAAAAGCTAGCCCAAACCGTACTTTATCAACTTTCTTGGGTAGAAAAAGTATGTTTTTACATTTTAGACAATGTAATTATTTTCCAAGCATTCCAATATCCACAATTCTTTTTCCTTGTACGTTACAGGTTGCAGTATTTTTGAGAGGGAGTGTGTTTGAGGTTAGCTTTCTGAGAGCTTTTACTCTTACATCCATAAACATTTCTCAATTTCTTTCTGACTTCTGTTTACCGTTGCCTATTGTCGTAAATTTTTTTAAATTTTTTGTATACGCGCTTTCCTTTTCATAGAAACTTTTTCGCTTTCTCATTTTTATTCATTTTGCATGTGCAATAATAACAAACAACACAGATATTAAAAGTGCGTCGGCGAGCGTTTATATACCTACAGTATAGGTTAGCGACGTTGCCAAAGTTATCACCATTTTAGTCAATTATATGTATATCTCTACCTACTTTCTACCTACGATGTACCTGACCGACCTTCTTAAAGCATTTTATTTGTATATAAATGTATATAAATAAAAAAAGCATTATAATTTAAGTTGATTTTAGTTGAAATTTTGCCATTTCTAATATAATTTGTTTTTAGCAAAACAGTAAAACATAAAAAATATTATGTTTAGTGCATCATGATCATAATGTAATTCATCGTTTTCCAGTTTTATCCCCTTACAAAATTCCTTTATCACAAAATAATCAGTACCGTGTTCAAGCATTTTATTCGTGATCCGATTGGCTGATATAGTCACATGATATACTGTTATGCAGCCGCAAATAAGCGTGTAGATGTGGTTTCGAGTTGAGTTTATATTATAGTGTAACGTCGGGACGTTTATTATCAATAAATTATTTTTTCCTCATGTACTTTTGCGTAGCTTAAATTTTAACTGCGTAAATGAGCAAAGGGAGAGCATTTAGCTGAAGCGGCTGGAGGACACGTGAAAATAGCCGTCCCTTTGTCGCGCGCTTTCCAAATTTTACCTCGAAAGATCGTAAAGTTTTTTTTGAGTAGGTTTAGATATAGAGTAAAGGAGCCGCGGAATTCCGCCTGCATCCTGTTATTCGATTTCACCCAAAAGTTTTCCACTTTTAGAAGCTAAAACTTTTGCTATATAAAAAAAATCTTAATAATTAATTTTACACAAATGAATCGGGAAAATAACGGCATGATAGGAAAATTTCGCAGCTTCTTGAAACCTCCCACACACTTTTTGATTAGAAACATAGTTACCGCGCAATCATCGAAAATATCTCAAAGTTTTGAAATTATAAATTAGAAAATGAGATAAATAGTCGAAAAACAGTTACTTGAATGAATTTTAGCAAATCAGTTATATAGTCCACAATTAAATAATGCCCCTTTTTCATTCCATATTATTTAAACAACGAATTGAGTTAATTATTTAAGTTACTAATTGTAAATATGTAGGATCAAAGATTTTCGCGTAAAATATGTTAAATATTAAGAAACTTGCGTTATTAAGAATTAATTGTAACAATTTTACGTAATAAATAAATTAATAATTATAAGAAAATCTGTAATGAAAATGGTACTTGGAGAGCCATCTAACGAGATAGGGCCCAAATTCTTGAACGCGCGCCCCCAATTCTCATCACGCCTCTGAACCAATTAGGGCCCGAAATCCGAAAGAGAAAAGGAAGGAAAATCTCAGTCAGCCAATTAGAATTTACTGGCATTTCCACTCTTCCCAAATTTTGAGGGACTGAAAGAGGGATTTTCCTCCCAACCATCCCCAGGGTTTAAAAGGGCGTGCGCAAGCGAAAATCGTGCACTCTCTCGCTCCTCGCAAGCCTCTTAAGCTTTACTACATTCGACCAAGTGTCAGATTCGGATTCTCCAAGTACCAGCCAAGTCCATTGAATAAAACAAAAGTAAGTTCAAACAAAATTTTTATTTCTATCTTTCCTCTTCCTTTCTAGTAAAATAGTTAGACCGGAATTCGAAAAAACAAGTCTTCGAAGAGTATTTTAACAAGGATTGGGATACTTTTCTATAAGACAGTCGCGCCTTAAAGAAAACTTAAATTCCTTTATGTGATAATTCCGGCAAGATTTGGGATTTTCACATCCAAGTTCCGATTCCATTGGACCCTGGTGTTTGATGGAAGGCTTGCAGTCAAGTTTTATTTTTCACTCTTTTTACGCGAAACGCGAAATAGAAGAGCTCTTATTCTCCAATTGCTCGTCTCGGTTTAAGCGTACGCACGCAAACCAAATAGAGCACCTGAGATTACGTCCGCCTCAGACGTACCTGAGATAGTGACCCGGACGTCACAATAGTGACAAAAATTTAATTTATTATAATTGATTCGAGTAATTTTGGCGATAATGCAATGTATTATTCTAGACTTATTTAATGAAACTAGCAGCAAATAAATCATTTCGTAAAAAATTACAAATATTTTCTATCACTAATCGATAATTTGATTTTTTAATGTGTAAGAGTGAAATAAAGATTTAGTAATGTCGCAATCTATATTAAAAAAGTAGGATAAATATCAATAATAATTTAACCCATTGAGAAAGTACTAATAAATTATTTATTACAGTTTTCGATATTACAAGTCATAAATTTAATAACGCGTTTCATCAGTAATATATATTTTTCAAAATATGGATTTTGAGTTTTTTGAGTATATCATTAACTGTTGATTTTTCCATAGCCAAAGTTGCCGATATTTCACGTGAAGTTTTACCTTCATTGTGTAGTTTCAAAACCAATTCACATTTGTCTAATGAAGTCCGTTATGGTGTAACGGCGGGTCAAAAAAAAAAGAGAATAAGATAAAAAAAAAATACCGACCACACATTTAGCTCGTAAATTAAGATGAAAAACTGCGTACGGCTGAATAAAGACGATTTTTCCTGTGAACGGCAGTTTTCGGCTCGCGCATCTGGCGACTTTCGGATGCTGGAGACTATCAGAGCGATTTTACGATCGCGTCATCCAGAGTAGCCAGATTGCGCGCATGTTTAGAAAGTAGAGATCTGTAGCGCACATGTGCATCCTGCCAACAGTAGTATTATTTTATTTTAAATAATTTATTTTCATTATTGCTAATGTGACGTCGGGGTCACTCTCAGGTACGCTTGGAGCAAGCGTAAACTCAGGGTTGCTCTGATTTGGCTATCGTGTAACACATAAGCCGGGACGAGCAATATTGTTGCGTTGAGAAAACTGTATGCTAACGCGGAATGTAATAACCAAATGTTATTACGAACACACCAGACTCACGCTTAATGTGTTCTTAAGGGACTTTAATGGAAATTCACCAGACTTACGCTTAATGAATTTCCAAAAGAAAGGCGGATTACTTAAAGAAAGAAAAGGATAGCCAGGTTTAAGATTTTACTTACTTTTATTTTATCAATTTAGTTATTATTAAAGTTGCGTTCTCTCTCTGCTCTTTGGCCTCTTTCTCTCTCTATATGCTCTGAATATACTTGGGTGATTTTTCTTCTTTGATGCTTCCTCCGGGACTCACTCACTGGTAAAAACTTCTTATTAGGGACTTCCTGGTGCTCACTCCGCACTTACTCTATCTGAACTTAACTTCCTCTAACTTCCTCTGACTTAACTCTCCAGCCTTGTACAGAGCTTTTTATAAGCCGTGGGTGGTTGGGTGGAAATCCCTTTCCTCAGGCCCATGAAGCGATAACGGCTAAATTTTGTATTGGTGGGAAATTTTCTAATCATATCCAGAATTTCTTTATTGGTCTGTGGGCGTGAATTTTCAGAGAGAGAAAGGGCGGTCCCTTTTTAACTTGGGCCCTTTTCTCCAGAGATGGCTCTCGGAGTGCCACTTTTAAGAGCAAGAGTAACGCTATAGCTTATAATTACTTATACATAATTGTACTAAACTTAATTAATTATGACGATACATAGTGACTATTATGAACATTCAGAAAAATTCAAACCTTTTACGATTTATTATAAAATACATTATTGTTCTATTTATTGGTTATTCGGTGACAAAAAGGTGCGCATTATAATGGCTTACAAAATTGATGAAAATCTATTTAATATTACGGATATTTTCTTAAAAATCGGTGGGAAAAAAAAGATAGATTGCATTTTTATGGTCCCCTTCCATTATCAGCGTGATAACACTTCACGATGTATACGCGATGATCGTAGGCCCCTGTCAACACATACGTGTGGGACAAAGCAGGATAGAGCGTTGATTGTAAGCTTGAGTACGCAGGCTCGGGCCACTATCAAAGTTTATATTTCGAATGCGTTTTCATCGTGGGAAATCAGGAAGGTTCCCACTCCGTTCGTCATATTTAATAATTAAATATAAAAAAAACTAAGTTACGGCTAGCCGTCACACTAATTTCTTTTAAATTAAAGGAAGCAGATTTGCTTGCAGGTCTCTTGAAAAATTGCGAAATTTATCTTCCCGTATTTATTGGTTCATTTTCTTTGCGAGTTTCGTATATATAATTGTTGGATGCGCTCAACTTTGCGTTAGACAATTTAAGAATGGCTTGAACGAAAGTTATTAATTGTGTTTGTTATAATTAACTCTGATTTTTTTTAGCATTTCTCAAAGCTTTTTAATAATTAATTAATAGTCAAAGCTATTAATACCCTGATTGTTTTAGATAAAC